GCAGATTGAATACCTCTGAGGGAAGACAGACTCACTTGTCCGTCCCCCTTCTTTCAGTTTTGCAGTTCTTCTCGAGTTTGCTGAAGAACAACTTCAAGTTGACCACGTCTTCATTTGCTTCCACAAGAACAGAGATGACAGAGGTAAGCCATGTTGTTGGGCAAAGCCTGTTTGGAGGGTTTAAGTGCAGGTTGGGTGGGATCCTGCCAATGAATCGGTGGTGCTTTCCCTCTTGCATCAGGTATGGATTGGCAGGGTCCAACCTGTTGGTTATCAATGTCCCAAATCTGTAGTCCTGGGGATCCCCATTCTTTTTGAGTTTGTTGGGCATCTTTGGAATTTGGACACAGGGTGATGGGCCCAACTACAAAATGGCTGCCGTGGGGGGTGGAGGCACCCCACCCCTCCAGAGGAAGTCCCAGTGCTGAGGTGATGAGGGGCAGCTCACAAAATACATTGGGAAGGAAGAATGAGAGAATAAAACCAGTGCTCTGGGTGGCGGCTGCTCCCAAAGCAACATTATATTAGTTTGCACAGCCGATCATCACTGATGGCCAATCAGAAGCTGTGCTGGTAAGAGCCCCACCCACTTTCTGAAAAGACTCAGGCACCATGGCACCCACGGGGGACCAACTTGGGGCTCTCTGCTCCAAATCCTTGTACTGAACGCCTTCCCTCTCCTTCCCGGCAGCCTCGCTGCTCCGTACTTTCAGCTTTTTGGGCTTTGAGATTGTGAAACCAGGGCATCCCCTAGTCCCCAAGAGACCCGACGCTTGCTTCATGGCCTACACGTTTGAACGAGACTCTTCCGGAGAAGACTAGATCCGCAGTGTTTGCCTCGTAGAGCTTTCTTGTCCTCTGTAAAGATGAATCTGTAGAAATTTTGTCAACATCTGTAATATTCACACACGTGCGCGCTTTAATGACATGTTCTTTGTACGAATTTCTTGTGACAGGCTGCTGTGGTGGTGGGGGCGGGGGGAATGTTGAGAATTTCTGAATTTTTTGTCATCTTTCTCTCTCTGGAATTTGTCCGCATGTTGTGATTGTGCAGAAATAAATGCTCACTCCAAATTAGCAGTATATTTCTTGGAAGTTTAATATTGTGTGTTTGTGATACTGAAGTATTTGCTTTAATTCTAAATAAAGGTTTATATTTTACTTTATTGCTGGTTTTATTGCTTGGAAGCGGACCGCGCACTCCCGTGCCCAGGGGGCTCGCCTGGTTCTCACCACTGAGTGGCTGCTTGTGCCAAGGGTGCATGAAATCCTTCCATCTTGCTGGCAGTTGTTGGCTCTTCCTTCTCTGGCACCCAATGGGACGGCAGCAGTGGTGGAGGCTTAGACTCAAGAAACTTTGCTTAGGGTGAGGGGAGTGCTAAACGTGAGCACCCCCTTTCTGGGACAGGGCAGTCCCCCGTTGAAGCATTTAAGTGAGCCACAGTTCTCTCAAATGCAGAAGCAATTCGAGCAGGGTTTTTCCGTGTCTCAGAGTTCTTTTAGCCTTGCGAGTGATCTTCAGCGTGCCGAAGGGAACTCAGGAAATGTATTTTTAGTGGACTAATTTTTTTTAATCTCCTTAGACTCAAGGTGATTTGCAGCCAGTGATTCGGGTAGTTTAGGGTGCTGGATTTCAGTAATGGAGGTGCACAGGAGCAAGAGATCAAGGAAGCACGCTGCTCCCACTGCATGCCTAGAGAACCCTCGGCTGCTAAGAGTTCCCACCCCTGGCATCCTGCTGTATTTATAATCCCTGTTTTCTTTCTCCTCTTCTGTTGTCCTGAGCTCCCACCTGCTCCCACTCTCTGTAAAGTAATCAGTCACTCTCTCCTTTGTCTCAAATAAGCACTTAATTTAAGATGGATTTCTCAGTGTTGAGCCAGTTTGGTGTAGCGGTTAGGAGCGCGGACTCTTAATCTGGGAGAAGGAGGTTTGAATCCCCACTCCTCCACATGCAGCTGCTGGTGTGACCTTGGGTCAGTCACAAGTACTTTCAGAGCTGTTCTCTCAGGAGCAGTCCTCGAAAGAGCTCTCTCAGCCTCACCTACCTCACAAGACTGTCCGTTGTGGGGAGGGGGAGGGAAAGGAGATTGTAAACTGCTCTGAGACTTTAAGGGCGGGGTCTAAATCCAGTCTCCTCTTCAGTTGTTGGATGCTTGGGGGGGAGGTAGGCGGCACCAACACGTTTGGGCAAGGGGCCAAACCACAGGATGGTATTTAATGAAGGGAGCTTTGACTCTCAAAACCCTTCCATCCCCCAAATCTTGTTGGTCTCTGAGGTGCTACTGGGCTCGAATCTAGCTGTACCACCAAATGTGTTTTCTGACATGCTGGAACTTGGTTCTCCGATTTGCTTCCACGGCAACAGCTGCGTGGAACAGCAGAGGCCCATTCGGGCTTGGCACTCTATGTGTGTGTATGTGCATGCACGTGTGTGCTCCTCCCGCTGCCATTTTCCTTAGCTGAAACAGCCCCAGTGACAGTGAGGGTATTTACCCCATTTTGGAGTTGCGTGTGCATGGGGTATGGAACCCAGCCCCAGCTTGTTTAAAAAAAATCTGCTGTTTGGCCTTAAGTTCCGCAAGCAGTTGGCATTTTCTTCCTAGGTGGGAGGGAGGGAGGGAGGTTGGTTCAAGTATTAATAGTAGTCCTACCTTTTCCCGCTACCATGTCTTGAATACATGAAAGTGCCTTGGGTTGGATCAGGGTCGGGTGGGGGCTGTTTGTGCCACTGCTGGTCAAATGCACCCAAATGCTGGTCAAGCACCCTCTTCCTTTTGAAAGACTATAAGCTCTTTGGAGGGGAAGCTCTATTTCTGCTTGTTGGGAGTTTCCCCAAGATACCCTGTGCACAGCTACTGCTGTAATACTGGGAAGGAAAAGCTCTGGGGTATTTTTCTTTTTCATAGGTGGGGCTGTCTTACAGGAATGAAATCCTGCTAGCAGAAGCCAACAACTGTCTCCGTTACTCTCTGAGAACTGTTCAGCAACTCTGGTTGACATCTAACGAGTCCTCGTCGTTTGGATTTTAGTGTTCTTCCTTGCAAATACAGTAGATGAAGACTCGATAAATCCTACAAAGGGATTCTGGGCACAGCAGGCCAGTAGGATAGCACGTCAGAGGAATACTTTTATTATTCCCACATAAACGCATTGCAACATATCCAAGAAACATAAAGGCGTGGCTATGAGATATCTGTGGGTCTGTGCTGAGGAGCTTCTGTTCCTTAGAAGACTTCCACCACCACCCTTCCCTTGGCCAAATAGCACCAGGCAGCTAATGAGTAAACAACACACATGCTAGGGTGAGTTAGGGTTGGTTCTGCTTCTCCCCCTTTTTTGGTGATCTCAGCCGTAAAACAAAGGAGGGCAGAGACAGCCCTTGGCCAGTCCTTCTGCTTTCAGACAGTTACCGAGAGAGACCTCTTCCTCCAGCTTTGTTGAACCAAGCTCCTCCCATAGTTAGCCATAAGCGCTCGCTCAGTTTTATGGGGCAGTTCAGAGCGTCCTCACTGACTCGGTGCCTTCATCCTGCTCCTGGGCCTCTGACTCTGCTCAAATCTTCTGTACGTAATTCCCAGGGAAAAGCCCTTCTTGCCCGTGGAGACGGCCCTTCCACCAGCCGGAGACATCTGTAAGGAGGAGACAAAATAGCATCTGATCTCTGCTGTCCGTTAGCTGTAATGGCAGCTGCACGGGTGGAGAAATGGGTACAAAGTCTGGATTATCTGCTGGGTGAAGGGGGGGAACCAGCAAAGGATTCAGGCTCAGGGTTTGCACCTTTTCTCCGAAACAGGCCTTTGCAGTCTTTTACACAGTGTGGGATTGCTGCACTTGGAACACAGAGATGATGTAACATCCTAAACCTGATGCATTCAACCCATGGTTCTTAAGGCAGGCTGAGACACTGTTCAGACAAGCTTGGATTTTCCCAGCTGGTGGAGGTAGTATAGCTCCCCCCAAAGAACCTTGGGAGGTGTAGTTCTGGGTGAAGGCAACTCAGGGTTAGTAATCTTTAGAAGAAGAGATTAGATTTATACCCTGCACTCAGAGTCTCAGAGCGGCTTACAATCTTTCACTTCCCCTGCCCACAACGGACACCTTGTGAGCAGTGTTCCCTCTAAGCTGAGTTAGTGTGAGCTAGCTCACAGTCTTTTAGCCTCCAGCTCACAAATTTTTGCAATAGCTTAGGAAGGAGGGCTCCAGAGCAAACTAATTTATGCAGTAGCCAAATTGCTGGCTCACAACTTTAATGTCAGTAGCTCACAAAGTAGAATTTTTGCTCACGAGACCACCGCTTAGAGGGAGCATTGCTTGTGAGGTAGGTGGGGCTCTTTCCATGTGAATTGCTCCACCCAGTAAGGAAAAAAAATTAGAGGGAACATTGATTCATGATCCAGTTTTGCATGAGAAGAACAAGAGATTGGATTTATACCCCGCCCTTTACTCGGAGTCTCAGAGTGGCTTAGAAACTCCTTTCCCTTCCCACAACAGACACCCTGGGAGGTAGGTGGGGCTGAGAGAGCTCTTTCGAGAACTGCCTTTTCAAGGGCAGCTCTTGTCAGAACTATGGCTTGCCCAAGGTAATCCACCAGCTGCATGCAGAGGAGTGGGGAATCTAACCCGCTTCTCCCAGATTAGAGTCCGCACACTTAACCACTACACCAAACTGGCTCTCAGTTTGGGGAGAGCTGTGGATTGATGTACTACAGTTTCATAGTGCCTTGCCTTTTAAGAGGGCCTATGGGGTGGGAGAAATCCCTTGCACTTAGCATGTCAAGAACACTTGGCTTAGACTTGGTGTGCTGGTTTTCCAAGGGGTGGGGGTTCTTTTTCAGTCTGGAAATCCAATAAGGGTCCTCTTTGGCTAATCTGAAGAAGTATAGGATACCAATTCAGTGAGAACTAGGTGCATCTTTCAAATGGATGAACCCTCAAGGCTGGGTCGAGTACAAAGGTATGGGGGGAGTTACGCCTTGAAAGCTATACAAGCTTTGTTAGCTCAAGTTTATTTGAAACTTGAGCTAACAAAGCTATCCCACGATAGCTAGTATTTTGAAGAGTGCTGTTGGTCTTGAAAGCCCCTCATAAATGGAGTACACAAGCCCCAAGAGACTGCCTGATAATATTCCAACGTTAACGGGGCCGAGGTTGAGAACGGCTTTCCTAACTCTTGAGCTTGTGGTGGAGACCAGATTTGAGTTACGATCTTCCTGGATCATTGCTTGTTCTCTTAGCCGCTGTGCTGAACAGGTTGCCAGAGTTGAACGTGACAGAATTTTGGTATCTCTTGACTCCGAAAAAAACCCGAAAAAAATTCTGCCTCAGATATCCGAAAAGCTGAAAAAACCCGAAAAGACTTTTTTTTGGGGGGGGTTGAATTTGGAAAACCCGAATGCACACCCCTACTCTGGAGCACATTTTATAAACATCTGATTGACTCACACCTCTCTGTGCTTGTGGCCTAATTTCCTCAGCACAGTGGTTTCTGTGCGTTTGCACTCATCCGATTCCCCCATACCAAACTGCCCATCCCTCAGAATTACTCCTGAAACACACAGGATCTACGCACAGGTCTTCCTACCTTCCATCAGGATGTCTATAACATCTCCTACATTGAAGCTGAGCTCATCCACATCCTGCCCGTGGTACTGGTACAGAGCTTGGCAGCGGGGGCCCGAGGGCCTCGGCTGGGGTGGCTTCGGTCGGGCCGGAAGTGGCCGTTGCCCGATGCTTTTCTTCCTTTGTGCCCTGCCATAGCCAAGACAAAAGAGAGTCAGTGTATGCTTCGGGGGATGAGAGTTCTTCATTCAAATTCTGTGAAACTGGAATTTACAAATAGGGTGAGTGTTCCGGGTCATCTGGTAACGTGTCCTTTGATTTTGCAGCTGCTTTGGTGTTTTGCAGCTGCTTTGCAGCTCTTTTTATTACATTTTTTCCCAAAGCCAAATTTCCAGCCCATGTGGAGCTCATCTAGGCCGATCCTGCATTGAGCAGGGTGTTGGACTAGATGGCCTGTATGGCCCCTTCCAGCTCTGTGATTCTATGAGGCAAAGATGAAGAAGAAGAGAAGAGGAGATTGGATTTATGCCCCCCCCTTCACTACCTGAAGGAGTCTCAGAGCGGCTTACAATCCCTTTCCCTTCCCCTCCCCACAACAGACACCCTGTGAGGTAGGTGGGGCTGAGGGAGCTCTCCTGAGAACTGCCCTTGAAAGAACCACCCTGAGAGAACTTGTGACTGACCCAAGGTCACTCCAGCAGCTGCATGTGGAGGAGTGGGGAATCAAACCCGGTTCTCCCAGATTAGAGTCCGTGCTCCTAACCACTACACCAGACCGGCTCTCAAGATAAACTTGGACTGTGTGAGTAACATCTGGTATGTGGCCAAATAAAGCTTCCAGTGTATATGGGGCTAGGGATGCCAGCCTCCAGTTGGGACCTGGGGATCCCCCGGAATTAGGGCTCCTCTCCAGACTACAGAAATCAGTTCCCCTGGAGAGAATGGCTGCTTTGGAGGGTGGACTCTATGGCATCATACCCCACTGGGGTTCCTGTCCTCCCCAGGATCCACCCCCAAATCTCCAGGAGTTTCCCAACCTGGAGCTGGCAACCCTTCCCCCCTATGGTGGCCAGCGGGGACCTGACAGTCTTATTTGGAAGTGACCACTCTCCCTATCTCTGTGCCGCAAACTGGTATAAGCAACACAAATAAATCAGGGTTCTCCGACGTTTTTGAGCCTGCGGGGACACCTTGGGAATTCTGACACAGGTCAGTGAAGGCAACCAGGAAATGGCTGCTATGGGAGATGGACCCAGCTGCAAAATGGCCACTGCAGGAGGCAGAACGCCATGCACACACAGAGAAAGCCCAAGCGCAGGGGACGTGTGGGGAGTACATAAGAACATAAGAGAAGCCAATGTTGGATCGGGCCAATGGCGCATCCAGTCCAACACTCTGTGTCACACAGTGGCCAAAAATACCAGGTGCCATCAGGAAGTCCAGCAGTCGAGCCAGGACGCTAGAAGCCCTCCCACTGTTGCCCCCCCCAAGCACCAAGAAGACGGAGCATCACCCGCCGCAGACCGAGAGTTCCTATCTATACCTTGTGGCTAATAGCCACTGATGGACCTCTGCTCCATATCTATATATCTAATAGCCAAGGCGCCCCCTGCGTGCGGATATCTAAATCTGCACATCGGGGGCACCTAGGGGGCAAAGAGATTTTCCTGCACATTTGGGGCAATCACCGGATGTGCAGAAAAATCTGTAATCTATAAAAAAATCTATGGGGGGGATACTTAAATCCCCCCCAAAGTAAAAGAGCATTCCCTGTGTATGCGCAGAGAACACTCTGAGAACTGCCTTGCCGCCACTGGGGAGGGAGGGGGAGGGAGAAAGCTGGCTCAGGCCTCACTGTTGGGGGGGGGAATGTCCCCCCCCCCAGTATATTGGCTCCCACTTCTTGTGCTTATCTAATTCCCTCTTGAAGCCGTCCGTGCTTGTAGCTGCCACCACCTCCTGTGGCAGTGAATTCCATGTGTCAATCACTCTTTGGGTGAAGAAGGACTTCCTTTTATCTGTTCTAACCCGACTGCTCAGCAATCTCATGGAGTAATTTTAAAAAATACCCTGGGAAAGGAGTGTGTGTGGTACTATAACCAAAAGCGGTGTTATCTTAATCTGCACAGCCAATCAGAAGCCCAGCTGGGCAGGAGCCCCCACTTGGCCCCACCCACTTTTAAAACAGACTCAGGCACCAGAAAAGGGGTCGGCGGGTTCTATGGCGCCCTTTGGGGGGGGGGTCTTTGGAATAAATCATACAAAGTAGATCTCTGCCCCAAGTTTCCGGTGCGTCGCAGAATTCAGCTTTTCTTGGCACAGAATGTGGGATGCCTCCATGTACAGTGAACGTGTGTAGAGTATGCACGGTAGCTGAGCTACGCTGGGGAGAGGGACCTTCTTGTGAAATTGCCCCCCCTCCCTCGTCCCCAGGCTGCTCATTTTGATCACCTTGTGGGCAAAGGTGGTTGATCACTGAGGCAAGGATGTTTGCCCATCTTTAAGGCTAAACATTAGGAAGAACTTCCCGACAGCTAGAGCAGTTCCTCAGTGGAACAGGCTTCCTCGGGAGGTGGTGGGGTCTCCTTCTCTGGAGGTTTTCAAACAGAGGCCAGGTGGCCGTCGGACCGCAATGCTGATTCTGTGGATTTGGGCAGCTCATGAGAGGGAGGGCAGGAAGGGTTGCCTCAGTGCTTAGTTCTCGTGGGCCTTTCTTACACACTCAGGGAACTGCCGATTGCCATCTTGGGGTCAGGAAGCCATTTTCCTCCAGGCCAGTTTGGTCAGGGATCCTGGAGGGTTCTTTTTATCATTTTTTGGGCATGGACCAAGGGTCACTGGGGATATGGGGGGGGAGGTATTTGTGAATTTCCTGCATTGTTCAGGGGGTTGGACTAGATGACCCCAGAGGTCCCTTCCAACTCTTATGGTTCTAAGAGGACTCCAGCTGCAGCCGCCCTTTGGCAAGGGAGGGGAGGAATGCCAGTTTCCCAGCAAACAACAGTGGTTTTCTGCTTTCCTAGAGAAAACTTTTTTCGACTCACCCCAAACGGAAACTTTTGCTTAAAAGCAAACAAACCCCCCAGTGAAAATGCATCTCCGCTGTAGCTCTTAGAAATCCTCCATCGGATGCTGGAAACGCCTGTTCCCAGAGCATCGCCTTACCCAGCCATCCCTTCATCCGGAACGTTGAGGAAGTCCAGGTTGTGCTCAGAAGGTTGTCTTGCCTTGGGCCGCCGAGCCTGGCCTTGCTTGGGCAGGGCGGTGGCCGGGGGCCGTTGCCCCTGCCTTTGGGGCGTGGTGTATGTGTTGTCTGGCCCCCGGGTGCTGTTCCGAGGAAACTGCGGGGCCCCATTCCTGCAGGGTCCTGCTGCGAGAGTTCTCCCTGAAAGATGCATTGTAACAGCCTCGTGAAGGGAGTCCACAGGTAAGTTACTACCGTAGTTCTCAACGCTTGTTACTAGCCTGCTGGATGCGTCCCTAGGCTTGTCATGTGTGACAGAACCAGTCGTTTGAAAAAGAAAAAATAACCCCACATGCCTCGAATCTACAAATGCTTCACTGACACTTCATTACCTTAACGTTACTGGCGAGTAGCTACTTAAAAGCGTCTGTTTTATTTATTCATTGGAATATTTTTACCCCACTTTTCTCCTGCAAAGCAAGAAGAAGAAGAGATTGGATTTATACCCTGCCCTTCACTAGACCAAAGGAGTCTCAGAGCGGCTTACAAACTCCTCTCCCTTCCCCTCCCCGCAACAGACACCCTGTGAGGTAGGTGGGGCTGAGAGAGCTCTGACAGAAACGGCTCTTTTTCAAGAACAGCTCTTATCAGAACTATGGCTTGCCCAAGGTCATCCAGCCAGGTGCAAGTGGAGGGGTGGGGAATCAAACCTGGTTCTCCCGGATTAGAGTCCGCGCACTTAACCACTACATCACACAAAAACCAGAACGGTCTAAAAAAATCACAATACATAGAAACAGCAGCCAGGAGATGGGACTGATTAACACAGTACCATGCAGAAGATCCTTCTCCCCACAAAACCCCAACCACTATGCAAAAGAGCCCTGAAATTGTTAATTCTGGGGTGGAAATGGATGGTGCTTTACTTTGAAAAGTCATCTCAGAGCTCTTAGCCGTTGCCTTTCTCTCCTGCCCTTTCTGATCTTTCTTTTAAATACATGTCACAGATTTCCAGCCACTTACGGCCAGTGTTCCCTCTGAGCTGAGTTAGTGTGAGCTAGCTCCCAGTTTTTTAGCATCTGGCTCACCCATTTTTGTCTTCGCTCCGGAAGGAGGGCTCCAGAGCAAACTGATTTATGCAGCGGCCCAATCGCTCGCTCACCACTTGAATGCCAGTCACTCACAAAGTAGAATTTTTGCTCACAAGACTCCACAGCTTAGCGGGAGCATTGCTTACGGCCCGTTGGAAGCCTGTGGTAACCTTTTACAGCAACCCTAAGCAGCATAAATGGGATTGTTTTTGGCACCGTGTGAAAAATCCCACCCACCCCCCCAAAATCCCTGCAAGTGACCGGCCGAGGGTCACCCCAGTGATTCGCATTGCTGATTCAAACCCGAGTGTCCGCTGTCCAAATCGGACACTATCCGCTATGCCTGCCGCACAGCCTTTCCCCATAACGCATTCCAAACTCTTGTCTTTCTTGGCTCATTCATATGATACCTGTCTCACTACCACACTTAGAGCTGAGTTCCTTCCCTACCTCTTGGGGCTGGCGGGGCGGCTCGTGGTGGGGGCAGGCGCGTGTGGGAACCTTTGGTTGTCTGGAGTCCTTTCCTGGTGGGTTCTGCAGAAACAGAAGAGACGGTGATGGAGAGGAAGGATAAAGGTGGGACTTGGGGGGGGGGGGCGTCTGAATATCTTTCAACTCCTGCGAAACCATTCCCAAACTCTTTCCTCACCTGCAAGACTGCAGGAAAAATACAGAATGCAGGCGCAGGTACAAAACAGCAACGATTACAAGACATTCAGTGCTTAGTCCTTGTGGCCCTTTCTGACATGGCCAGGGAAATGCTGATCGCCACTTTGGGGCCAGGAAGCAATTTTTCAGCAGGCCAGTTTGGCCAGGGATCCTAGAGGGTTTTCTTTGTCGTCTTCTGGGCATGGAACAGGGGTCACTGGGGGTGTGTGGAGGAAGTTTGTGAATTTCCTGCATTGTGCAGGGAGTTGGACTCGATGACCCTTGGAGATCCCCTCCAACTCTAATTCTATGATTCTATTTCTGAATCCTCTTACTGAGGATTGTATTCCACGTCTGCGTACAACCAAGTCCAGAAAAACAAGGGAATGCACCAATATTTATCATGTTATTTGTTTCTACGTTGATCTTCTTGTCAACAGCTGGGGGGGGGGTTCCTCTTCCTTGTTGGTTTCACACACTTGCCAATGCAGGTGGTGTAGCCAGTAGACACAATTTGTACATACAGTGCATGTCACTTATACCTAACATACTGTTTGTTTCCTTTGATGGGAGGGGGGAATGGAAAAGAGGAACCGGGAGGGTGAGGAGGAGGAGGAGGAGGAGTTTAAACATCACTCCTAAGGGGAAGGAATGAAGACTTACTGGAGTTCTTCGGGAGTCCACTTCCAATGCTGACCGAAAGAGCTTTCCCTGCTGCTTTGAGGACAGCCACGCTTCCCTGCCCACTGAGGAAAGTCACCGTTCGGGTCCCCCCTCCGCCCCAGCCTTCCTTCTTCACACGGAACTGTAGTCTGTGATGACGGAGAAGGGAAAAGAAGAAGAAGAAGAAGAATTGAATTTATACCCCCCTGCCCTTCACTCAGAGCGGCTTACCATCTCCTTCCCTCCCTCTTCCCACAACAGACACCCTGGGTGATTTCCCACAAGCGCTGCTCCGCGCTCACTCTTCTCTTTGGCCCGAAGGTACGTGTCAGTTTCACACAAGCTGCTGCCCGACCGCATTTTGCCCCGCAGGTTCGTGCGATTTCCCCCGCGTCTACTCAAGCCTGTTTTTTGAGGATTGAGTAGACGTGGGGAAAATCGCTCGAAGCTGCGGGGCAAAACGCGGCCGCGCAGCAGCTTGTGTGAAATTGACACGTACCATTGGGGCAAAAGTGAGTTAGTGTGAGCTAGCTCGCAGTTTCTTAGCCTCCAGGTCACACATTTTTGTCTTAGCTCAGGAAGGAGGGTTCCAGAACAAACTGATTTGTGCAGTAGCCAAATCGCTCACAACTTTAATGCCAGCAGCTCACAAAGTAGGATTTTTCCTCACAAGACTCCACAGCTTAGAGCGTTGCCTGTGAGGTAGCTGGGGCGGAGAGAGCTCTTTCGAGGACCGCTCTTGAGAGAACAGCTCTGAGAGAACTTATGACCAACCCAAGGTCACACACACACCCCAGCTGCATGTGAAGGAGTGGGTGTTCTGAACACACAAATCTGCCTTATGCTGCATCAGACCCTTGTTCTGTCAAGGTCAGTATCGTCTACTCAGACTGGGGCAGGGGCCCTCCAAGGTCTTGGGCTGGAGTCTTTCACATCACCTACTCCCCAGTCCTTTTAACTAGCGATGCCGGGGATTGAACCTGGGGCCTTCTGAGTGCCAAGCAGATGCTCTGTCCAGTAAGCCACAGCCCAAATGGGGGATCATTCACCAGACATCCCTAATAATATCAGCTCACAGGATTCCCTGTACCGGCGGACATCTAGGTGACTGTTACGTGGGTCGATGCAGATCGTGTTCCCTTTCCAGCCCACCCGTCTCCCGTTCAAGTATTAACCAGGGCCGGCCTTGTTTAGTTTCTGAGCGCTGACGAGATCGGTGTAGCCTGGGCCACCCAGGCCAGGGCAAAGGGGGGCTTACGTGTCACTAAAGCTGAGCTGGAGCTTGTTGTGGGTCGCCTCTTCGTAGCGTTTGCAGAGCAGGCTGACGAGTTCCGTCTTGAAGATGGACTCCAGGAGAGTGTCGGCCTCGGCTTCATGAAGGATGAAGAAGTCATCCTGCCTGGTGCTGCGGCATCCGGGAAAGGAAAGAGAAGAGGAGGGGGGCAGATCAGACCCCTTGAGCGAGGAAGGAACCGGTGGCTGCAGGACAGCCGAGTGAGGAGCGTTGTAAGAATCTAAGGACGCCTGTAAGGGACCAGAACCCCCTTCTGTTGTGCTGGGACCAACCCTGGAATGAGAACCCAGCCAAATTTCCGTTGTCCCCCCCCCCACGCCACCGAGACCACCAGAAAGAGGGCACGGAGCATCTTCAAAAGACGAGGAATCCCAGAATAATGACGAGGAATCCCAGAATAAAACATGCAAAAGAGGTTTGGCTCAGGGGACACCTGGGAAATATGGGAAAGCGCGTCACCTGAGGGATACCCTGTGGACAGCCTGGATCTCCACCTTCTTCTTCAGCACTTCCCGGATCTGGCCCTTTTCCGGGCCTTTCTTCACCTTCTCGCGGCCAATTAGGTAGAAGTATTTGGGGGTCAAGATGAAATCACGTTTAATGGGCTGAGGGAAGCAAGGAGCGAGAGAGAGAGAAGGGAGGCAGGTCACAAGGAGGACAACCAGCACAAGAGGTTTATCTACGCCGCGTCCCATCTCCAGGACTTTGGTAAGCCAACACATGCATGTCCAATTCAAAACAAAGTCAAGCGAACATTCCAGATCCTGCAGGTCTTTGTGCCTGAAACTACAGGGGTTTGGTATGTAGGGTTCTCAAGAGCCTTTGGACATCCGGGATATTCCAAGTCCTTTCCCTGAAAGTTCAGCTTTCATTCCCTCCACCCCTGTACTCATGGAAGAAAATACACAATTAAGTCTATAATGAGCAATGCGTTTCCTTCTTCCGCCTAACAGAGCAAAGGCTAAGGAATAACAAACAAGCACTAGGGACACATTTTATTTGCTTGTTTTTTGCCACCCCGTAGGGTTTTCGATAGGCGCTGCGGTGGCTCAAGTGGTTAAGACGCTGAACTGCAGGCTGTGGAAGGTCGGTAGCTCAGTAGTTCGAGACCCGAGTGTGCCGCATGACGGAGTGAGCTCCCGTCTCTAGTTCCAGCTCTTGCCAACCTAGCCGTTCGAAAGCAAGAAATTGCAAGTAGATAAATAGGGACCACTTCGGTGGGAAGGTAACAGCGTTCCGCGCGCCTTGGTGTTTAGTCATGCCGGCCACATGACCACGGAAACGTCTTCAGACAGCGCTGGCTCTTTGTCTTTGAAACGGAGATGAGCACCGCAACCCTAGAGTCGGACTCGACTGGCTTTCGAGCAAGGGAACCTTTACCTTTACTTTAGGGTTTTCGAGGCAAGAGACATCCAGAGGTGGTTTGCCATTGCCTGCCTGCCTGCCTCCATGTCACGACCAGTGTTCCCTCTAAGCTGAGTTAGTGTGAGCTAGCTCACAGTTTTTTAGCCTCCAGCTCACAGATTTTTGTCTTAGCTCAGGAAGGGACGGCTCCAGATCAAACTGATTTATGCAGTAGCCAAATCACTGGCTCACAGCTTTAATGCCAGTTGCTCACAAAGTAGAATTTTTGCACACAAGACTCCACACCTTAGAGGGAACATTGGTCACGACCCTGGTATTCCTTGGAGGTCTCCCGTCCAAATACTACTTGGGGCCAATCCTGCTTAGCTTCTCAGATCTGACAAGACTGGGGTAGCCTGGGCCATCCAGGTCAGGGTAGATCAAGGCTCACATTTAAGTGTATTAAAAAAAGAGATGGAATAGAATCAAAGAACTTTAATCCTATGAGGCTACTTGTACAGATGTTCTTGGCTGTTCAGCTCTAACGCATAACCCCCCCACACACCTGAGCTTTTATTTCGACTTTTTTGATTCCGCCCTCCCCTGCAAACAGGGCTCAGGGTGGCTTGCAACATACATAAATACATTTAAAAATTAAAACACTATATAATGATTCATTACAGACCACAGATTCTTCTTCCAATTACCCTTTTATTTATTTTGTTTGATTTAAAACATTGATTAGCTGCCTTTCTTCCTAACGGAACTCGAGGTGGCTTACAGTATAAATAAAACAATGACTACAAAAAACACACAACACGTAAAAACAATTTAAAAATTAAAACACTATATAACGATTCAACAGACCACAGATTCTTCTCCCATTTACCATTTTATTCATTTTGTTTTATTTAAAACATTGATTAGCTGCCTTTCTACCTAACGGGACTCGAGGTGGCTTACAGTATAAATAAAACGATGACTACAAAAACACACACGACAAAAACAATACACGTAGAACAACAAGTATAAAAACACACAAAAGGACACAATTTAAAAACCTCCAATTAGGACTGTCAATAAATACAAACACTGCAGGGCTCTTTTTGTAGCAGGAACTCCTTTGCATATTAGGCGACACACCCCTAATGGAGCTAATCCTCCAAGAACTTACAGTAGCCCCTGTAAGAAAAGTTCTGTAAGCTCTTGGAGGATTGGCTACATTAGGGGTGTGTTGCCTAATATGCAAAGGCGTTCCTGCTACAAAAGAGCCGTCAAACTATCAGTCAAATGCAGTCCTAAACAAAACTGTCTTCAGCCACATCCTGAAAATCAACAGTCAGGGGGCCAGGCACATTCCCTGGGAAGGTTGTTCCATAATCATGGGGCTATGACCAAAAAGGCCCTCTCTCGTGTACCCACCAAACAAGACTCTTTGATTGGTGAGACAGTCAAGAGGGCTTGTCCCTGTGGTCTTAATTCCCAGGCAGGAACAATGTACAATGTAAACAGAACTTTAAAATACACAAAACACATAAAAGGCCATGAATTAAAACCACAATTTAAAACTACGAATTGGCAGAAAACTAAACTAATTGAATGCTGCCATCGTCAGCTCT